ACTGCTCCTACTTCCTGTTTATTCCTTAATCATTCCAGCTGTTGCTTCCCCTACTCCAATGAAATGGCAATTGTGAGAAAATTCAGAGCAACTTAATTACTGAGTTCCATGACCATCACTGCATCCACTTTCAAACAAAATTTATACTTCATTTGACCTTGTTTAATACTTGGTTATTATTAAAACTCTATTCTAGTGGCTTTTTAGAAAGTACGTTTTCCTGAATCTCATATATCCCTGATTTTCTTTCTTTCTTTCTTTTTTTTTTTTTTTTGGCTCAGTGGCGTTTTTTTCTTTGATAATTCTTTAACACTGGGGTTTGGCCTTAGAGTTCTTTTCCCTCTTTTATACTCTCTCCCTGAATCATCTCACCAATTTCTAAGATTTCTGTAATTATCTAGCTACAGATCGTGAGCATATCAATATATCCACCCAGGCTCATCTCCCTTCTGATTTCAGACATGTATTTATTAACACATTACTTGATAGCCACAGGTTGCTAAAACTCAGTATCTCACCAAATTCTATGTCACCTATCTACTTTTACAAATCCCAAAATGCCACCTCTCCTGAAAATACTGCTTTTATTGCATTACACTCTTTGTGTTGGCATCACTATTAATCTAGAATAGAAACTTTAGAGTCAGCTTTGATTCTTCTCTTTTCTTCATCCCTCACATTTAATTTTCATCCTCTTACTGTGGATTCTTGTTATCCAGTTCATCACACCTGCTTCAGTATTCTTCCTAGAACAAAGGTCCAATTACATCTTTTGTTTTTTAAAAGCATTTGGCAACGTGGCTTTAACATGTCCTATTGTACTAATTAGGGTTCTCTGAAGAAATAGAACCAATAGGATGTGTACACACACACACACACACACACACACGTATAGAGAGGGAGAAATATTTGTTTCAGTGAATTAGCTTATGCAGTTGTGAAGGCTAGCAAGTATAAAATTTGCAGGACAGGCCAGTAGGCTGAAGACCCAGGAAAAGTTGGAGTTTGAGCCTGAAGGCAGAATCCCCTCTTCCACCTGGGAGGTCAGACTTTTTTTCTATTAAGGCCTTCAACTAATTGGATGAAGCTCATTCACATTATGGAGGATAATCTGATTTACCCTAAGTCTACTGATTTAAATGTTAATTTCTTCCAAAAAATACCTGCACAGAAACACCTAAAATGCTTGACCAAATATCTGGGTACCCTGGGCAAGCTAAATTGATGCTTAGAATTAGCCATCACACCTATTCATAATTTTGAGAAATATTTACACACACACACACACACACACACACACACACTGTAAGTGTTGATTAGATTGAGCAGGCTATTTATACTTGCGTGCTCATTATCCACTTTATTTTTTCAAGCCCTTATTGCTGTACCTTATATATTTTAAGAAATCATTATCTATTTGCTGGTTAACTGACTGAATGGAAAGAATAAATGAAACAGAAGAAATAGATGGAGGGAAGGAAGGGTTCAGGAATGTTGGTCACACAGCATGAAGTGTCTTTCTTATTCCTTTTTCAGCTTCATGAACCTATTCAAGATTGAAATCATAGATCACTTTCTGCATGTCAGATTCTTTGAGCTCACTCCTTTCTCATGTTTTCTTTTGTACAAAATGTCTGCACCACACTACTTATATTGAATTCTTTGTTAGATGCCTCTACAAGATGATTTGAATAATACCAGCACCTACTTTTGCCCTTTTGCTATTCTGGGACCTCATCCTTCTCATTTTATCTCTTACTTTTTCCCCCATTTCTCATTCTTTTTCTTATTCTCTTCCCTGTCATCTCCCAGCACCATGTGTCATATTTAACAGCAATAACCTCTATAATCCAAAGGGAACCAACTAGACATATGATGTCCCTCTGTAAGGGTGGCTTTAATTCCAAAGAGAAAGTGAAATGCTGATATTTTCTATTCTTAATGATTAAGATTAAAGATACTTTCAGATATGCTTAGGATGACCAATTTTTACCACTGAAGTACATTTTAGGTTGGGCTTTCCATTGAACAGAGGTTTTAATATTTGGCGAGTGTTACCAACCTTCCAATAACTGGATGAAAGCCAAAAACTCTCCTAGGAAACAGTCAAGTTTTATATTAAATTTCTGGGAGTTCAAAGAGTCCACAGTGTTCATACACCCTATACTGTGTTATTCTTAATTCCCAGGTTCTACAGGTATATATATAAACTTATCCAGATCTTTCTTGTAAGAATGGGAGATGGTATGAAAATGTGTAGTTTCCTTGTTCTTCAGAAACGTTGTGCACATATTTAAAGTTTGGTGCAACATCTCTGGAAGCCGGTGTCCTTAAGGCTTATTTTTTTCTGAGAGATGGCTACCGCTATGCTTCCATCCTGTAGGCATCAATTAATTATAAGAATATACTCTATTTGCTATAAATTGCTAGCACCATGTTTTTTCTTGAGAAGCAAGAAGAAATACAGGTTAGCAGGGCATCTTCTTTTAAAAATAGAGGTTGCAAACCTAACTGACTTCTGGAAAGTGTGAGATTTTCTCTTTCTCTCTGTAACATTCTTTCTATAAAATGCTATCCTCTTGGTCCTGTGTAAACACTCTGAATTAGGTTCATACTAGGCTACCTGGACACTCAGCTCATGTACAAAGCACCAAATACTAACTCATTTAGGTAGGATTACTAACAGGAGTCTCTGCTATGAGCAGATAGTGTGTTGATGCTGGTGGACCAAAATGTTTGATTTGGGGTAGGTAAAATGGGAAAAAAATGACTGTTTAATATATGTTTTTTGATATGCATAAATCTTGTCATGGGCTGCTCAGATATATGGATCAGCATTCCTGTATATCAGCAATCAGGTGGAATTAAACAGCTGTTCTCATTGTACCTGGCATGTGCACTGTAATTTGCTTCAGACTCCACCACTCTCTGTTGCCCTCAATCCATAAGAAATGTTGTTTGCCATTGATTATCACAGATACCTCTTCTTTTTCTTTAGTATAGTAGAGAAATAATTTCCAATACCCAGGTATATGTCAAAAATGGCACCATGAAATTCAGAAAAACCCCATATATTGTGATATATTTCTTGGGAGCAACTGAAAATTTTCTCTTATTTAATATGCAAGCAGAATGCATCTTTGTCAGGTTTATTATCATTTATTTTATATACAGTTTACTTCACTCACTAATGTTATCTTTTGCTGCCCGTATTGGCATACAATTTGCCACTTTTTCCTAGGGTCCTCTTCACTTCTTCACCTTCAGCATCCTGGAAGTGCTGCTAAATAGAGTTTTAGTAGTTGTTATAGTCATATTATATTTCAGTATTTAAAAATCGATGATTTTACATTTTTCTGTAAAATATTAACAAAAACTGATGAAGTGAATTATCTATATAGTTATTTGCAAATATTTACATAGTAAGCTCAGTTAAAGAACCTGAAGTGATTATTGGCTTCAACCTATTGCCTTCATACAGATTTAGCAAACAGCAATAATAACAGCAATAGCAACAACACAACAACATTTCTTTGGATTATTTCACGGATTACAAAATACCTTCACGTGCATTTTATGTAACATGAAGTCCAGAAATGCTGATGTAACATATTTCCTCTGTCTTAAAATAATTTTAAATAAAGAGCATCTAGCAAGGGAGAAGTTCACCCCAGGATCACTACTGGCAGGCTGGACGTTATAGAAATGGGCCTATCTGCTGCGCTGCCCAGGGAGGCATCAGCAGCTGCTTCCATTTGTAACAGCATTTTGTTCCTGACAGAATGTGAGAAAAAAAGTCAGTGCCATGAAGTTCTAATGTTGAGGTGGCCATGTGACCACACTACTTTCTTTTGTGCTGTGAGACTCGCAAACACTGCCGTGGGGAGTGTGTGTGATGTTGTCTTATGTGGACAGTAGCCATCTCTACTACGTTTTCAATTTTCTTGGCATCAAAGCCACACATTTACAAATCCATTTAGTACCTTTTATTTTTTTTGTTGTGTAAATATGATTTTGAAAGCCCCTAAGTTTATACAGTATTGAAAATTCCAAACTAAAGTATCGAGAAGGTTTCTGTGTTCAGAAAGCGATTTGAACAGTTGTCTTTGTTAGCAGGCACTTCCTGCAAGGACCACATATGAGAGCTTCATTTATTTATGGAAAGAAAGAAAGATAGATAGATAGACAGACAGACAGACAGATAGATAGCGGGTACTTCCTACAAGGAACAAATATGAGAATTTCTTTTATTTATGTAAACATAGATAGATACATACATGCATACATACGTACATAGATACATACATACATATATAAATAAATAAATCTATGAGGTTAAGCCCTTGCCATAAACAAAACTCCTGTTTGACACTTTAAATGAAAGAAGTATAAGGAGAAAGTTTCCTGAAAACAAAAGATGCGTAGTTCCGTGTATTTTATATACTGAAGGATTTCCGTGTGTTTATAGAAGTGAGAAATCCCATGGGTCTGGATGATTATGGAAAGAAAAAAGAGGAAGCAGAAAGAATTCCCAGAGGATGGAGGGACAGTGATTATGAAAATAAGTTTGTACACTGGGTTCTTAATTAGAATATTCTATTACACAAAGAGACGGGCAAAGATGACACCTTGGTACTTCAAAAAAATAACTATTCAATGGTGAAAGAATCGTTTTCTTAGTAATTCAGTGACACATATTTTGGTTCTTTTTGACAAGTATGCCTTTCATTGAAACAATGATTATTGTTAATAATTATTTGAATTCCACATATTTGTGCCTTTTGTGAACTTTCCAGAGACTAAAGTCATTCTTCAACAATTCTGCTGTACAGTGATCAGCTACATAAACCTCGATTAGACATCTGTCCAGATTTAGGAATTATATTTCAGTGCGGGATTTGAACTGTAATTATCCATCACGCTAGAAAAATAATAGTTCTAATCAACCTGTCTTTATCACCACTTTCATCATAATTTTAACGTCTCTGTTTTTATATAAGGTTGCCATTGCCACCTGGGGCTTTTTCAGGACTCTGGAAGAATCAGGAAGCATTCAAGCGTTTATACTTTGAAAAATTTCCCGTAAGAACCTTAATATGCTTTTTTTTGTCTTCTTATGTACTTTTCTATAATTCTTGCCTGTTAAATTGAGAAACTTGCTCCTACAATCATAGATCAAAAAGAAACTTTTAAAGGTTATCTGGACTAGTTTCCAGCTCTCAAGGATAAGAATGCCCAACTTACAATTATCTACATAAGTCATGTTTACACTTATTGTCAGTCTCTGGACATAGAAATTTCTTTGTTTTTCTTAACAGCTTTTCCTGGAATTTAATAGTCCTCAGTATCAGGAATGTTTTTGTTACATAAAAATGTTTTTTGGACTTTTTATATTGTTTCTTCTACTGGATTCCTCTGTACCAACAGACAAGAGGCAACAAATCAGAATTATAGAATGTGATTAAGAATCCTTAACCTCTTCTTTTATTGGTTATATGAGCAAAATCCATTTAGCTTGCCCAGAAGTCGTATTTTTCCATTTCTTCATCTATTTTTGACACCATTTCTCAAATGTCCTCTGAGGTCTTTACTTTAAAATCTCATTTTAAAAATACAGATAAAGGACAGAAACTGTACTGAAAGTCCCACACCCAGTGTTCTGGGTAACAAAAGTGCCTTCCTGTTTCACATTCTGTCATTGTGTGAAACTTTGTACTCCATGACAACGTGTGTTATGTTTATAACAGCATTTCATGATAAACACATCAGGGTCTGCTCACATCATCTTTCTGTTGTCCCTCTACTGCCCCCACAACAGGGACACCTGGTCCTAATTTTTCACTATGTAAAATTCTGAATGATTTTTACTAAAATGAGAATACTGAGTAATAGCTCAGCTTTAGATATTCTGATGAGAATACTGAGTCTCAGAAAATCTAAGAAACACAATAGTGGCTTTCCAGGATTTGTACTAAAGTCCATGCTCATAAACATAGGTATCAAAATAACTCAGAAGCATTAGGAAAAAATAATATTGTTTCTACTTATTTTTCTTCATTATTCTTATTCTCTGATTTCTAGACCAGCAAAAATGTTCTACTTTGAGTGATTAAAAATTAAATTTCATACTTACTATTTTAAAAATTCCAATCATTCAGAATTTTACTAAAAAAGTTTGCCAAAGTATTTAGCATTTTATCTTTATTATTTGTTAGCGAAGGACAGATAAACTAATCAACTGGACAAATGACAAGAATTAAAATATCTTTCTTTAGAAAGAAATGGCAGCATTGAATGACCTCAATAGCCAAGATTAAACATGCCCTGATAGAGTGTGGCAGGGATAATTTGTCAGTATAGTTAACTCAAGTAAGCCCAATCTATCTGCCTGACAGGGAAACAGTTAAATCGTCAGAGAGCAGGTGGTGACATGATTGATTATAGCTTGACAATGGCAAATGATATGTGCATGTGGTTTTAACATGATCACCTTTAATACTAAAAGCTCCCTCAAAGCCCCTGTTTATGGCTAAACTATGTGAAGTGACTCTGTACTCTATGTCTGTTTACCTGATCTCAAACCTCTTATTTGAGAAATTAATAACAGCAGCACCGAAGGGTTGAGTAACTTCCCTTGAGTTCACATAGGTGAGAAGTGACGGAACTGAGACTTGAACCAGAATAGTTGGGCTCGAGAGTTCATGCCCTTAACTGCTACTCTGGTTTGCCTATCTAATATTAATAAAAGTATTAATTGCAATAAAATTATTGAGAGCTCATGATGTGTCCAAGTCTGTCCTCTTTCATTTTTATACACTGTTTCATGTATGTTTCACAGAAGCTTTATAAAGCAGAGCTCATTATTCCCTTTAATGGATGAGAATACTGAATCTCAGAAAGTCTAAGAAATACAATAGTAGCTTTCCAGGATTTGCACTAAAGTCCATGCTCATAAACATAGGTTCAAAATAACTAAGAAGCATTAGGAAAAATAATATTTTTCTACTTCTTATTCTTCATTATTCTTATTCTACTGTGATTTCTAGACCAGCAAAAATGTTCTAATTTGAGTGACTAAAAATAAAATTTCATACTCACTATTAAATTTCACTGAAGCTTGAGTGTGATCTTAACCCATATTAATAAACTAATGCTGTATTGTGAAATTATTCATTGGGAGCTTTAACACTTTTAAAAATTAATACAATTAAAGAAGAAATGTATCAAAGAATTACTTTGCAATACCAAAGTATATTAAAATTAGTATTGAGCTATTACTTCTCCATTAAAAAGAAGAAATTGGGATCATAAACTTTACCACTCTATATCCGAACTCTTAAACATCTCTAAAAACACTTTAACTTATTCTTGGCTGTTAGAGAAGGAAACAGATTCTAGTACACTTCCCAGATAACAAGTAGTTTAATTTCCTAGTCTGATTATGAAAAAAGGCAAATGCTCACAGCAAACCTATTTCATTACATTGTATATTTTACCAAGTTTAAAACGATTACATTATTTAACAGTACATACTAATCAAACATTATTTATTCTTGTTTTCAGGGATATTATGATACCATGGATGCTGGTTACATGGATGAAGAAGGCTATGTGTATGTTATGTCTCGAATGGATGATGTAATAAATGTTGCAGGTCACAGAATTTCTGCAGGTGCCATTGAAGAGGTATTGATGAATATTGGTATTCTATTCCAAGTAGTGTTTAGACACAGCTGCACTGAAGACAATATTGAGGTTATTTCACTTGGAAAATTACCACACCCTTCATTTGCAGCAGAGGCTAGGTTACTCTTGTATCTCTTTCACTGAATGTACATTCTCTCTTTTAGATTTTCATATTTTCTACGCTCTCCCATCCCTGGGTGGCAGTGAAGAGTTTTATTTTTTTTTTATTTTTTTTTCCCATTTATTTATTTTATTGCATTTTAGGTTTTGGGGTACATGTGAAGAACATGCAAAATTGTTGCATAGGTACACACGTGGCAGTGTGCTTTGCTGCCTTCCTCCCCATCACCTACATCTGACATTTCTCCCCTTGCTATCTCTCCCCAGCTCCCCACCCCCCACCGTCCCTCCCCTATTTCCCCCCAACTGACCCCAGTGTGTAGTGCTCCCCTCCCTGTGTCCATGTGTTCTCATTGTTCAACACCCACCTATGAGTGAGAACATGCGGTGTTTGATCTTCTGCTCTTCTGTCAGTTTGCTGAGAATGATGGTTTCCAGGTTCATCCATGTCCCTACAAAGGACCCATACTCATCGTTTTTGATGGCTGCATAATATTCCATGGTGTATATGTGCCACATTTTCCCTATCCAGTCTATCGTCGATGGGCATTTGGGTTGGTTCCAGGTCTTTGCTATTGTAAACAGTGTTGCAATGAACATTCGTGTGTGCGTGTCCTTATAGCAGAATGATTTGTAATCCTTTGGATATATACCCAGTAATGGGATTGCCAGGTCAAATGGAATTTCTATTTCTAGGTCCTTGAGGAATCGCCACACTGTCTTCCACAATGGTTGAACTAATTTACACACCCACCAACAGTGCAAAAGTGTTCCTATTTCTCCACATCCTCTTCAGCATCTGTTGTCTCCAGATTTTTTAATGATCGCCATTCTAACTGGTGTGAGATGGTATCTCAATGTAGTTTTGATTTGCATTTCTCTGATGACCAGTGATGATGAGCATTTTTTCATATGTTTGTTGGCCTCATGTATATCTTCTTTTGTAAATTGTCTGTTCATATCCTTTGCCCACTTTTGAATGGGCTTGTTAGTTTTTTTCTTGTAAATCTGTTTTAGTTCTTTGTAAATTCTGGATATCAGCCCTTTGTCAGATGGGTAAACTGCAAAAATTTTTTCCTATTCTGTTGGTTGCTGATTCACTCTAATGATTGTTTCTTTTGCTGTGCAGAAGCTGTGGAGTTTGATTAGGTCCCATTTGTCTATTTTGACTTTTGTTGTCAATGCTTTTGGTGTTTTGGTCATGAAGTCCTTGCCTACACCTATGTCCTGAATGGTTTTGCCTAGATTTTCTTCTAGGGTTTTTATGGTGTTAGGTCTTATGTTTAAGTCTTTAATCCATCTGGAGTAAATTTTAGTGTTCGGGGTCAGGAAGGGGTCCAGTTTCTGCTTTCTGCACATGGCTAGCCAGTTTCTCCAACACCATTTATTAAACAGGGACTCCTTTCCCTATTGCTTGTTTTTGTCAGGTTTGTCAAAGATCAGGTGGCTGTAGATATGTTGCACTGTTTCTGAGGCCTCTGTTCTGTTCCATTGGTCTATATCTCTGTTTTGGTACCACTACCATGCTGTTTTGATTACTGTAGCCTTGTAGTATAGTTTGAAGTCCAGTAATGTGATGCCTCCTGCTTTGTTCTTTTTGCTTAGAATTGACTTGGCTATGTGGGCTCTCTTTTGGTTCCATATGAAGTTTAAGGTGGTTTTTTCCAGTTCTGTGAAGAAGGTCATTGGTAGCTTGATGGGGATAGCATTGAATCTGTAAATTACTTTGGGCAGTATGGCCATTTTCACGATATTGATTCTTCCTAACCATGAACATGGAATGTTTCTCCATCTGTTTGTGTCCTCTCTTATTTCGTTGAGCAGTGGCTTGTAGTTCTCCTTGAAGAGGTCCTTTACGTTCCTTGTTAGTTGTATTCCTAGGTATTTTATTCTCTTTGTGGCAATTGTGAATGGCAGTTTGTTCTTGATTTGGCTCTCTTTAAGTCTGTTATTGGTGTATAGGAATGCATGTGATTTTTGCACATTGATTTTGTATCCTGAGACTTTGCTGAACTTGCTTATCAGTTTCAGGAGGTTTGGGGCTGAGACGATGGGGTCTTCTAGATATACAATCATGTCATCTGCAAATAGAAACAATTTGACTTCCTTCTTTCCTGTTTGAATGCCTTTATTTCTTTTTCTGGCCTGATTGCTCTGGCTAGAACTTCTAATACTATATTGAATAGCAGTGGTGAAAGAGGGCATCCTTGTCTGGTGCCACATTTCAAGGGGATTGGTTCCAATTTTTGCCCATTCAGTATGATATTGGCTGTTGGTTTGTCATAAATAGCTTTTATTATTTTGAGATACGTTCCATCAATACCTAGCTTATTGAGTGTTTTTAGCATAAAGGGCTGTTGAATTTTGTCAAAGGCCTTCTCTGCATCAATTGAGATAATCATGTGGTTTTTGTCTTTGGTTCTGTTTATGTGGTGAATTACATTTATAGACTTGCGTATGTTGAACCAGCCTTGCATCCCCAGGATGAAGCCTACTTGATCATGGTGGATAAGCTTTTTGATGTGCTGTTGCAATCAGCTTGTCAGTATTTTATTGAAGATTTTTGCATCTATGTTCATCATGGATATTGGCCTGAAGTTTTCTTTTCTTGTTGAGTCTGTGCCGGGTTTTGGAATCAGGATGATGTTGGTGTCATAAAATGATTTGGGAAGAATTCCCTCTTTTTGTATTGTTTGGAATAGTTTCAGAAGGAATGGTACCAGCTCCTCTTTGTATGTCTGGTAGAATTCAGCTGTGAATCTGGACCTGGGCTTTTTTTGGGTGATAAGCTCTTAATTGCTGCCTCAAATTCAGACCTTGTTATGGGTCTGTTCAGGGTTTCAGCTTCTTCCTGGTTTAGGCTTGGGTGGAGGCAAGTGTCCAGAAATTTATTCATTTCTTCCAGGTTTATTAGTTTGTGTGCATAGAGTTGTTTGTAATAATCTCTGATGATGGTTTGAATTTCTGTGGAATCTGTGGTGATATCCCCTTTATCGTTTTTTATTGCATCAATTTTGTTATTCTCTCTTTTCTTTTTTATTAATCTGGCTAGTGGTCTATTTTGTTGATCTTTTCAAAAAACCAGCTCCTGGATTTATTGATTTTTTGAAGGGTTTTTTATGTCTCTATCTCCTTCAGTTCTGCTCTGATCTTAGCTATTGTCTTCTGCTACATTTTGAGTTTTTTTGATCTTGCTCCTCTAGCTCTTTCAGTTTTGACAATAGGGTGTCAACTTTTGATCTCTCTTTGCTTCTCATGTGAGCACTTATTGCTATATATTTTCCTCTAGAGACTGCTTTAAATGTGTCCCAGAGATTCTGGTATGTTGTGTCTTCATTCTCGTTGGTTTCGAAGAACATCTTTATTTCTGTCTTCATTTCATTGTTTATCCAGTCAACATTCAAGAGCAAGTTGTTCAGTTTCCATGAAGCTGTGCGGTTTTGGGTTAGTTTTTGAATTTTGAGTTCTAACTTGATTGCACTGTGGTCTGAGAGACTGTTCGTTACGATTTCCGTACTTTTGCATTTGCTGAGAAGTGATTTACTCCCAATTATGTGGTCAATTTTAGAGTAGGTGTGATGTGGTGCCGAGAAGAATGTATATTCTGTGCATTTGGGATGGAGAGTTCTGTAAATGTCTATTAAGTTTGCTTGGTCCAGGTCTGAGTTCAAGTCCTGGATATCCTTGTTAATTTTCTGTCTGGTTGATCTGTCTAATGTTGACAATGGGGTGTTAAAGTCTCCCACTATTATTGTGTGGAAGTCTAAGTCTCTTTGTAAGTCATTAAGAACTTGCCTTATGTATCTGGGTGCTCCTGTATTGGGTGTGTATATATTTAGGATCGTTAGCTCTTCTTGTTGCATTTATGTAATGCATTATGTAATGTCCTTTTACCATTATGTAATGTCCCTCTTTGTCTCTTATGATCTTTGTTGCTTTAAAGTCTAATTTATCAGAGATGAGAATTGCAACTCCTGCTTTTTTCTGCTCTCCATTTGCTTGGTAAATCTTCCTCCATCCCTTTATTTTGAGCCTTTGTGTATCCTTGCATGTGAGTTGGGTTTCCTGGATACAGCACACTAATGGGTTTTGTCTTTTTATCCAATTTGCCAGTCTGTGTCTTTTGATTGGGGCATTTAGTCCATTAACATTTAGGGTTAATATTGTTATGTGTGAATTTGATACTGCCATTTTGGTGCTAGCTGGCTGTTTTGCCCTTTAGTTGAGCTGGTACTTGTTGTTCCTTTATATGTGTAGAGCCTCTTTCAGGAGCTCTTGTAGAGATGGCCTGCTGGTGATGAAATCTCTGAGTACTTGCATGTTCCCAAAGGATTTTATTTTTCCTTCACTTATGAAGCTTAGTTTGGCTGGATAGGAGATTCTGGGTTGAAAGTTCTTTTCTTTAAGGATGTTGATTATTGGCCTCCACTCTCTTCTGGCTTGTAGGGTTTCTGCTGAGAGATCTGCTGTGAGTCTGATGGGCTTCCCTTTGTGGGTAACCCGACCTTTCTCTCTGGCTGCCCTTAGTATTTTCTCCTTCATTTCAACCCTGGTGAATCTGACGATTATGTGCCTTGGGGTTGCTCTTCTTGACGAATATCTTTGTGGTGTTCTCTGTATTTCCTGGACTTGAATGTTTGCCTGCCTTGCTAGGTTGGGGAAGTTTTCCTGGATAATATCCTGAAGAGTATTTTCCAGCTTGGATTCATTCTCTTCGTCGCATTCAGGTACGCCTATCAAACGTAGATTAGGTCTTTTCACATAGTCCCACATTTCTTGGAGACTTCGTTCATTCCTTTTTACCCTTTTTTCTCCAGTCTTGCCTTCCCGTTTTATTTCATTGAGTTGATCTCCGACCTCTGTTATCCTTTCTTCTGCTT